ACTTAAATAAACTGAGGCTGAGATGGGGTAGAGGCAGGGCAGCCAACCTGGGACCTAAAAGTTGCAGGTTCAACTCCCAGCCATTCCCACATGTCGTGGTGTCTCTGAGCAAGACATCTAACTGGGCCTGTCACAATAACAAGTTTTGCTGGGCGATTAATTGTCTCAGAAATTATTGCGATAAATGATATTGTTTGAAATTTGACAATAATTAGTAATTATTGTCAAATTTAAGAAGTTTTTTTTAACAATATATTTATTGTTTTTTTTTTTCATATATGAAACATAGAAGACATACATTCAAACATACATTAAAGAGTTCCCCCACACAATCACCGCCCCCCCACCCACAATTAACACTCAGGGTTTCAAAAAATTAATTAATAAATTAAAAATATATATATATATATAAAATAAATAATTATAATAATAATAATAAGAAGAAGAACAAGAAGAACAAGAAGAACAAGATTTTGATTTTTAACAAAACATTTATTGACAAATATAAAATGTACAGAAAACGATTAAAAAGACAAGATATTCACATCAGGTCAAAACTTAAAATAATTAAATTAGATGCTTATTAATTAACAGATTTTCCTGAGTTGATATGTTGCATAAGATCCCATTAAAACCCCATAGCTGCACAAAAGTTTTCATATTCCCAGTGGCTTTGTGGAAGAAGAACTCTAGCTTCAACCTGGCCTTGACGTTACATTTCCACAGGGCCACGGCATTGAGATGAGGACCAGCTTGGAATCCATCTCTACGAGATAAATAAATAGCCATTTTTGCTTCAGCAATTAAAAAAGACAAAATGTGGCACTTGGGTTTGTTTTCCTTGCTGAAACGCAGTCCATAAATAAATACAGAACTGGTAAAAACGATGCCAAAACAGCTAAAAACACTCATCAATAAACTAAAAAATGTCAACAGTCTTCTACAATCAATAAAAACATGAAAAACACTCTCAGACAGACCACAGAAAGGACACTCATTTAAAACCCCTGGACTAAAAACCGATAAAAACGAGTTTGTTGCAATGGCTCCATGTAAAATCCTCCATTGGAGATAGCCAGTCCGTTTTTTTATCGGAGGTTTGTACAGCGTCCTCCACTGAGGGGTTTGTCCTCTCAGATGGTCTGCCCACACGCTCACTTGTCTGTTCTTTAAAGTTCTTTCATTTAATACTTTGACACAGTTTTTATAGAGTACTTTTGGGCTCGTACTCTGGAGGCACATCTGTGAGTTTTTTTCATACAGCAAAGGACCGCTGTCTTTTGTGAAGCCAGTGGTCAATGTCACATTAGGTACTGGGTCTGTTGGGTCCGGCAAAACCTTTCTTTCGTGGAGTAGCTGCAGGAGACGCCTCCCTCCGGCCGTCATCCTTTCTTTCAAGAGGTCCAGGAAGCGCTGCACAAGTCTAATGGACCTGACTCCTAGCAGAGAAACAACAGCCTGGGTGTTGGAAAAGTCCGGTCCAGCTGCCTCCACCAGATGTTTCACAGTCATTGTCTTGGACCTACACAGCATCTCCGACAATCCTGGTATTGTGCCGCGACACACATCCAGTCTGGACCCACATACTAAAGGCTCTTCTAAAAACCAATGCAGAGAATTATGCGCCTGTGAATGATCTAGTTTAAAAAGTCCACAGGATTTAAAAACACCTTGATAAAACTGAGGCAATCCCTTTAAGTTTAAAAGACTAAAATCAGTTAAAAACAGAGCAGCATCCAGCCCCAGTAAATTGACACGTACTCCCACTCCCTGCGCCACTCTGTCTCATTGGATAGATCACTGTGTGTCTCTTGTAAAAATAAAACGTCAATTTTTTTATACTTTATGGTTTGGTAAACCAGTGCACGTTTCACAGCCTCTCTGGCCCCGTTCAGGTTTAATGATGCTATTTTAAAAGCATTCATGGTGAGTGAGAGGTTTAAAAGCGTGTACAAAAAGACTATAAGAAATATTAAAATGCTGCTGTTCATCATTTGTTCAGAATTGTTTTCTGACTTTGATCATTATTTTCTTTAATCTGAATGTTTCTTGATCTGTAAAACCTGACTCTTTTTTGTGTCTAATGTGATGTCTGGCTGAGAAATAAAACGTTTTCAGGTTAGGAAAATAACTTTCAACTTTAACCCCTCTCAGCCCTTTGGTTTGCTTGAGGAAGGACAGGAAGGATTCTACAGGGTACCGGGGTTCAGTGCAGTCAGCCTGTGAGACTGTCTCTTTGTCTCAAATCCACCAAAAATTCTGTGGCATAGTTTTAGGACAAGTTGAAATAAAATAGAAGAAATATGTTGAGTCAATTTGATAATGAGAATTAGAAAAATAAAACAAAATTTAAGTCAAATAAAAGTTGGTTTTATTTATTTATATATATATATATATAAATTCAATAAGTCACAATTACATATCCAAATACACTTTAAATATATGCTTTATTACTTAAATAAACTGAGGCTGAGATGGGGTAGAGGCAGGGCAGCCAACTGTCTTCTCCGACAGTTCACACTTCACTGAAGTCAGAGCACCAGCCCTCACTGTCACTGCTCTCTGCTCCCTCCTTCATCTCTGCACACATTTTGCTAGCTTGCTTGCTGGCCCGTGCAGCAACTTCAATATTTTTTCTTTTCCCTAGTTTCTTCACCTGGGTTGGGGCCCCCAGCTCCATCTCCTCTACAACCGCCCCTGCTTCTCATTCCACACCAGTTCCTGACTTCTCACTTTTCTTTCCTGCACCTTTTGTTTCCTCATCCACCTCCACCTCTCCTTTCCCTTCAAGATCACCACACACCAACTCATCATCACCCCCTTGCACTCCTCGCTCTCCGTTTCTCTCCCCCACCTCCCCTCGAGCCTCCTCCTCACCATGCACAATACTACCATTCTCCCCACCACCACACACCTCCGTGTTGCCACCTTTTCCCACACACATACTTTTTGTTGCTTCACCGTCCACAGATGTCACCTCAACACTAACTTGTTCCACGTCAGCTGGGGTCGCGGACTCTCCCGCAGCAGCGGCGGGAGTGGGACCCGCCGCAGCCGGGGGGGTCCCCGCAGCAGCAGCGGCGGGAGGGGGACCCGCCGCAGCCGGGGGGGTCCCCGCAGCAGCAGCGGCGGGAGGGGAACCCGCCGCAGCAGCGGGCGGGGCCGGTCCGGCCCTGTTTGGGCACATTTTTATTACGTGCCCCTCCTGGCCACATCCAAAACATTTCATGTTGGAGGAAGTGGCGAATAAAAGATACTCAAAATCATCCAGTTTAACGTGAAAACGCACAAACTCTTTCCCCCGCTTGTTCAAAATCATAAACAATGTTCTCCTGTGGGAGACGACGTGTTTGAGAAGTGGTGATTTACACCCCGTCAACACTTTTTTAATCGGTGACACCACCTTCCCGTGTCTGGACAACTCCTTTATCAAAAACTCGTCACTAATAAACGGGGGGACGTTGGACAGAGTAATCTTGGTGGCTGGCAGCGCCAGTGGTGACACCTGTAAAAACAAGTCACCCACTGAGATGCCAGCCTCGACCAGTTGTTGCGCCTTCTCCACCTTATCAACAAAAATGACCACAGCCCCGTTCATGCGGGCTGCGGACCTGATGGACCCATGTCCAACCACCTCCCCCACCGCTAAACAAACTTCGTCCACGCTGCACGGAGAGCCAGCGCTCACCTTGATGCCGTTTTTCCGCGTCAGCGTGGAGAATCCTCCCGTGCTCTCCGCCACCATGGCGTCTAGACGCCGGCCAGCCAGGTGCACCTGACGGCCACACCCTGTCAAACAAACTTTTTAAACTAATAAAACACCAAACCCCACAATTAAATAACTAACATAAACACCAAGTGAAAAAAGTAGAAAAAGGACAGAAAAAACGAATGAATAGACACTCTCACTTTCTGATCCTCTGCTCTTCCTCTCACACTCCTCTCACACAAAGAAGAAGAAGATTTTGATTTGATTTTTAGCAAAACTTTATTCACACAGTTAACAAAAAAATATTAGAAAACAGTATTAAAAGCATGATCAGGACAAGCTTTAAAGAAAAAAAATAGTTTACATTAAAAGCTTGTTGTATTTTAGTTCCTTCTGATCAGAAATGGTGCATAAGACTTTTTTAAATCCCCACAGTTTCACAAACCTTTCCACATCCCCAGTGTCTCTGTGGAAGTGAAACTCCAGGGCCAACCTGGCCCTGACGTTGCACCTCCACAGAGACACAGCATCGAGGCGAGGTCCATCCTGCAGTCTGTCCCTGCAAGACAAATAAATAGCCATCTTTGCCTCGGCGATTAAAAAGTTTAAAATTTGGGACTTGTCCTTAGTGGCTCTACTGTAAAATACACCATTAATAAAAACAGATTGGGTAAAGACTGTGTCAAAAAGGTTAAAAATCTTTGTTAAGAGGTTAAAAAAAACTGTTAAGTCGTGCACAATCCATAAAAACGTGAAAAACATTCTCTAACAAACTGCAAAAAGGACACTCTTTTAAATCTCTGGGACTGATGACAGATAAAAAAAGAGTTGGTAGCAATGGCGCCATGAAGGATCCTCCATTGAAGGTCACCAGTCCGTTTTTTAATTGGAGGTTTGTAGAGTGTCCTCCACTGGGGCTTCTGCCTTCTGAACTTGCTTTCCCAGACACTGACAGCTCTGTTGTGCAGATTCCTCTTGTTCAGTACCTTCACACAGATTCTGTACAGTACTTTTGGACCCGATCTGCACAATTCCACCTTTAGACCTGT